GCTCTTTAGTTCCTCTTCACTTTCTGCCATGAGAGTGGCAGAAAGTGAAGAGGAACTAAAGAGCCTCTTGATGCGGGTGAAGGAGGAGAGCGCAAAAGTTGGCTTGAAACTCAACATTAAGAAAACTAAGATCATGGCATCCGGTCCTCTCACTTCCTGGCAAATAGATGGGGAAGAAATGGAGGTAGTAACAGATTTTATTTTCCTGGGCTCCAAGATCACCACTGATGGGGACTGCAGCCAAGAAATTAAAAGACGCTTGCTCCTGGGGAGGAAAGCTATGGCAAATCTAGATAGCATGCTAAAAAGCAGAGACATCACCCTGCCAACAAAAGTGCATATAGTCAAGCCTATGGTTTTCCCAGTTACAATGTATGGCTGTGAAAGCTGGACCATAAGGAAGGCTGAGCGCAAAAGGATTGAGGCCTTTGAATTATGGTGCTGGAGGAGACTCCTGCGAGTCCCTTGGACCGCAAGGTGATCAAACCGGTCAGTCCTAGAGGAGATCAACTCGGACTGCTCTTTAGAAGGCCAGATCCTGAAGATGAAACTCAAATACTTTGGCCACCTCATGAGAAGGAAGGACTCCCTGGAGAAGAGCCTAATGCTGGGAACAATTGATGGCAAAAGAAGAAGGGGACGGCAGAGGATGAGGTGGCCAGATGGAATCACTGAAGCAGTTGGTATGAGCTTGGGTGGACTCCAGGGGACGGTGGAGGACAGGAAGGCCTGGAGGAGTGTTGTCCATGGGGTCTCGATGGGTCAGACACGACTTCGCGACTAACAACACCACCATCAGGAGGGTGGCTACTCGGAGGAGGGCTTTCTCAGCGGTGGTGCCTAAGTTATGGAATGCGCTCCCCAGAGAGGTCCACCTGGTGCCGTTGTTATTTGTTTTTTGGTGCCAGGCGAAGACCTTTTTATTCAAGCAGCATTTTAAATGTTAATATTATTGAATTTTTCTGGCCAGGGCGGCTTATTTTATATTGTATATTTGTAATTTATTTTAATGTATATATTTTAAAATGTTATTTAACGTATTTGTTGTAAGCCGCTCTGAGGCTTCGGCGAATGGGGCGGCATAAAAATGTTTTAATAAATAAATAAATAAAAATAAAAAATATTCTATATAGAATATAGAATTTCTATTTCTACTGCTATTTAATTTTTAGATTTTTATAAGAAACTCATTTTGATATTAGAAAATGCAGGCAGTTATAAATTCTCTGGATTATTCCAGTATTTATATTGTTGTTCTGTGCCATCAAGTCACCTCCGGCTTATGGTGACCCTATGAATGAATGCCTGCAAAATCCCTGTCCTTGACAGCCCTGCTCAGCTCTCATTAAATCAAGGTTGTGGCTTCCTTTATGGAATAGAGCCATCCCACAGCTGGTCTTCCTCTTTTTCTTCTGCCTTCAACTTTAGACTATAGTTTCATGACTCAGAGCCATAAGTATCTTTCAATGTCACAAACAAGCTTAATCTCCCTCTTGTCATCATTTTGAATTGTGAGCAACTCGGGGCAGGGATTTGTCCTCTTTGGACCTTGCCTATTTATGGCCACTTACAAGTCAAGCTACATGAGAGAACTTCTGAGCATGTGCAGAACGCTCCCGCTTATCTCACGTTTGAGCCAAGTCAAAGAAGGGCCTCCGAACGTGTGGAGAGGGCTCCCTCCACTGCACAGGCACAGCCCGCCAAGGTCCGCCGGGGGCAAAGCCCCGGCGCCTCTCTCCGCCCGCGACCTCAGGGGCAGAGCGGAAGTCCCGCGGGTTAAGGAGGGCGCTGCCGGACGAGCATCCACGGGAGGGCCGCACCTGCCCAGGGTCGCCTCAGGCGCGGGGAGAGCCGCAACACTTACCGCCTCTCCGCAGCCCAGCGGAGCTCAGCGGCCCCGGCTCGCCTTCCTCATCACGCTCCGCCTCAGGCGGCGCCGCGGGGCAGCCCGGGAAATGCAGTCCTCCCTTCCTTAGCGATGTCGCGCCTTGCCAGGCTGGAACTACAACCCCCAGAATGCACAGGCACCCGCACCCCCCGTGGCCGCGACGGGCGTACACCATAGAGTGAGGAAGCAGGAGGGGGGAAGCGCCGGTGGTGCAAGATGGCGGCTTCCGGGTCGCTGTCCTAGGCCGGCCGCCCGGCTCTCTATGGTTGCTGGGGCTGCGCTGGGCCCGGGGAGGCGCCTGCGGTGGCGGGAGAGGGGTCGGGAAGCGGAGTGTGGCGGCTGAAAGAGCCTGAGGGGGTGGCGAGGGGCGAGCGGGAGCTTCGCGTGGCCAGATTGGGGGGGTGCTGGGCATGTTACTCTCCCCCCTTACTCTTTCTGGAGTATATATACGGTACTTTACGGCTAAGGGCTTAAAGTACTTCACGTACATGATTTCAGCCATCCTTACGACAACCCTGCAAGGTAGGCCACTTGGGATTGCCAAGTCTTTTGAAGAGGAAGGGCCTGGTGGGGGTACAGCCGGGATTCTGGGAGTGGGAAACCAACACATCCGGAGGGCCTTAGGCTGAGGAAGGCTGGGGTAGAAGATGGCCATTGGCAGTGCCGAGGAAGAGGCAGTTGGAACAGAGGAGCAGAGCCTGCCTCGAAAAAGTGCTTAACCTAAGCCGGGGATAGGTCAAGTATGTTGGACTGCAAGTACTGTCAGCCCTGGCATCCTAGCCAATGGCGAGGGATGATGGGAGTGGTAGATCCTACAACATCTGGAGAGACACGTGTCCCCTATCCTTCACTTGAGCAAAAGATATTTCCAAACTGAATTCAGTAATACTTAGAAATAATTATTACGATTACAATGCATTTATCCTTCAACCTTTTTCCCTTTGCAAAGAGGCATACATAATTCTGCAATCTGTGTGTATCCTCACAACAACAACCCTGGGGTGTAGGCTGAGAGCCTGTGACTGGCCCAACTTCACCCAGTGAGCTTCATGGTTGAGCAGGGACTAGAACGCAGATCTCCCACTTCCCCAGTCCAGCCCTTTCACCATCACACCAGCCCCACAGTTTAAACATGGCATCACACCAGCCCCAAACTGATTGTTACAAGCCAGTCTTACCCAGCCTGGGGCCTTGCAGATATGTTGGACTGTAACTCCCCTCATCCCTAGTCAGCATGCACATGGAATGACGGTTAGAGTTCTTTGGATGGATGAATGAATGAATGAATGAATGAGTGTGTTTCATTTCAGAAAGTTATAATCAGGTGAACTATTAAAAGCATTTTAAAACATTAAAACAAACAAACATTTATTTGTTTATGCAAAGTATTTATGCTAGGGAACCGGGCTGCACAGCAGGAGGTGAGGGGCAAGTGGACGGGCGAAGCTTCGTCTGTATTTGCAGCCGCTCGCCAGCACCAGCATCACCGCATCAGCTCCACCTCAGGCCGTAGATTCTCATAGGCGCATGAACCCTACTGTAAACCGCATACAAGGGATCCAGGTTGCGCACTCCTTATGAGAATCTAAAGCCTGATGATCTGAGGTAGAGCTGAGGCAGTGTGTTGTGTAATTATTTCATTATACATTACAATGTAATAATAATTATAAAATGCATAACAAATGTAATGCACTTGAATCATCCCAAAACCATCCCCTCCAGCCAGTCCGTGGAAAACTGCCTTCCACGAAACCAGTCCCTGGTGCCAAAAAGGTTGGGGACCGCAGGCTTAGGGGATGCAAAGGTGACGCAAGCCATCCATGAAGATTATTTTTCCTTCCTCTCAGTCTGTGCCCTGCACCTTGGCCTGAGATTTTCATTCCTTCCTCTGGCAGCTCAGAAAATCCTAAGAGATACCCTGTGATACTAATGCCAGCAATTATGCTTCCTTGTGTTGCAGAAGGGGAACTGAGCAACCAGTGAAAGATGCCAAATAAGCAAAGACCACCCAGTGAGTTCATAACAAAGGTGAGATTTGAAGGTTTTTCTATGCCATAAAGCTCTGCATGCAGGACTGATCGCCAGTCTTTGTTCCTGAGATGCGTTTATTTGTCCTTAGAGTTGTACTCTGTGCCTTTAGCACTTCTGCTCTTAAGAACATAAGAAAATCAAGAACATAAGAAAAGCCATGCTGGATGAGAGCAAAGGATCGTCCTAGTCCAGTGCTCCATACACACAGTGGCAGCTGCCCAGCGGGTTGCCCAAGCAGGATGGGGGCAAGACCTCCTCCTGCCCCGCTGCAGGAGGCGTGTGCAGGCCGGCTGCCTCTGGTGAAGGAGGGAGCACACGGCCAGCCAGGCTAGTAGCCACAGATTGTCTCCTCGTCCACGAATCTGTCCATTCCCTTTTTAAAGGCATCCAGATTGATGGCCACCACCACTTCCTGTGGCAGCAAATTCCACCGTTTAGCTATACGCTGAGCTGGTTCATAACAGCTAAATAGTACAATGCAGCAACTCTTCCCCTGCAAAGGGGGATTGGGTGGGGCTTATGCACCCAAAATAATAAGATAAAAAGTGCATTTTTCTAACATTTGCTTTACTTACATGGTTTGTAAAGCCTTGTTTACATATGTTTCAATGGTTCCTGTGTCTGAGATCTTTCACTAAATAAGCTTTTGTATTTAGTGGTGCTATGCTGATACTTCTGTACTAAAAAGATGAAGAGATAATTTTTGTTTGAAAGGGTTTTTTTTTTTTTTTTTTAGAATTAAGAATCAGCTGCATCAAAGGTAAAGCTTTAGGCTTACTCTGTGAGGCTGTGTGGTTTGTAGAAGACTTAAATACTTGTGGTTATTCGGTTAACCCAGAGTTGCCTGCATAGGGGAACAGACTATAAACAACCTTTGAATCAAGGCAAATGCCACGGGTCATCAAGAAGGGCTTCACTGATGAATTTCTGCATGTTGGGCTACTTAGGGTGCAATCCTATGGCAGAAGAAAGAACGTAGGGTCTTAATGCAAAATTGTTGCTGGCCTTCCTGCCCTAGCGCTGATGAATTATTGTTGTGCTGCTTGGGAAGGAGGCGATAATAACTTGGGCCTGTTTTACCCCAGGTCTTCCTCTGTTTAGTGGATTGACTAATCATGGCTGTCTTGCTTCTGTGCTCCGTTCACTAATTATGCTAGCATGCACTGAGTTTTGGATGTTTTCAGTCTCATTTCCTTATTGTGATGTTTCTTTGCAGCTTAGCTCATCACTGCCATAGCGAAGTGTGCTAAAAGAGGAGGGGGGGTGATTGGCTTTTGAGGAGCACCCTGCCATCCTTTTCCTGGCCAGCTGCTGAGCTGAAAATGGACTGAATTCTGAAGAGAGGGGCTGGCAGTGGGACTTGGTTCTGCAGCAATGGATGAGCAGAGCTTGGAAGAAGCCATTCAGTCCTACACTGCGCAGCTGCAGCAAGTGGAACTGGCTTTGGGTGCTGGGCTGGACCCTTCACAACAGACTGACCTGACCCAGCTGCGGGCAGACCTGCAGCAGCTGATCGAGCTGACCGAGTCCAGCCTTGCGTCAGTGAAAAAGAGCAGACTCTGTTCAACGCTGGGCCCCGAGACACTCTCCACGTCTCCATCCTCTGCTCTGCAGCAAGATGGTCCCCAGTCTGGCAAACTGAGCATCGAGGATGAGTATGCAGCTTTTAAGGAAGCCGTTGCTGAAACAGGGGATTCAGAGGCGCCCTCGAGCACTGGCGGCGCGGAGGGAGGCGGAGCGGAAGAACTTGAGGAAGAGGAAGCCAGTGGGATGAAAGTGAAGGCCCCGTACTACAGTTCTTGGGGGACTCTTGAGTACCATAATGCCATGGTGGTGGGGAGTGAGTGTTTGGAAGACGGAAGCCCAGGGGTTAGAGTGCTGTACCTCTACCCCACCCACAAGTCCTTGAAGCCGTGTCCCTTTTTCCTGGATGACAAGTGTCGTTTTAAAGAAAATTGCCGGTAATTATCCTCAATTGCTCTAGCATTGGGAGGCGGCTGGGATGGGGTTCCCGAAAGTCTCAGGAGCCTGAGTAAGGAAGGGTGCACTCCTCCCAACCCACCACCGACCGGTGACCGTCTTGCGTTCTCCCCGCCTTCCTGTCGGGCAGGTCAGCTGACTTCTCAGGGCTCCCTTCGCGGAGCTCTGCAGCAGGCCGTTCGGTGCAGAATGGCTTGGGAGCACTTGCAGAGAGGCTGCTGGCGGCCCAGGGAACCGCTTTGCTGTGTCGTATCAGCTGCCACCTTTTACCCTTGCAGTGGCAGTGGCGTGAGTGTAGGAAGAGCAGGTGAGATGGTGTTATTCCAGCTTTGATTGCACCAGCTGGCCATTTATAATATCACAAACTGTGCAACCACTCTCCTGTTAGAGGGACCACACTCTGCCTTAACAAATTCAGAATAATTTGTTATAAAAGATGGCGAAATGAGTCTAGGGTGCTTTAGAGCAAAGCAAGCATGGAAACGGAAGCCGGTGCCATGGGCTGCCCCACTGCCTGGAGCACGAAGATCTGAAAGGCGATTCTAAGCGTGTTCAGCTTAAAAGCCTCCCCGCAGCTGGGAATTCTCTCCTGTTGTGACTCATGCAAGATGGTTGGGCATGGACATGATGGGGGCCGGGGTGGCATCTGTGTCCCCCTCTCCTCTCCTCTCCTCTCCTCTCCTCTCCTCTCCTCTCCTCTCCTCTCCTCTCCTCATTGTTTCACCAGGGGGAGACCAGGACCAGGGGACTGGTGGGCCAGATTCGGCCCTTAGCAATCCTGAGCTTGGCCCTGTTTCTCACTTCCCCTGTCATTCCACCCAGTGAACAGAGCATGGAAAAAGGGCAGGTGTGGCTGGACAGGGCCAGGAGGGGGGGCTGGGCCGTAGTGGTCCTGCTGAGTTCATCTGGGCAGGCAGTCCAGCCCCACATCAAGCAGGCGCCTTACCCCGGGGTCCGACCCAGCGCCTTCAACGGGCCCTTGTGCATTTGCTTGGTGTTAGGTTGGTCCGGTCAGCATCTTTCAAAGCCGTGAAAAAGGCAAATCAGGAAGAGCCCGAGAGGAGGCACTTCTGCATCCCTGGAATGTTGGGCCTTGAATTATAAGGCAGAGAGGACAAAAAGCACGATGGAAGGCAGAGCGTGCAAACAAGGGCCTGCTGCCCCCTGGTGATTCGGAGGCAAGGTGTCTGTGAGTGGCTCTCACTGTGTTGCTCCCCCGGCAGATTTTCTCACGGGCAAGTAGTCTCTGTGGAGGAGCTGCGTCCCTTCGAAGAGCCGGACCTCGGCTGCCTGGCTGTGGGCTCGGCCTGCCTCGCAAGACACCAGGACGGGATCTGGTATGCTGCTAAGATCACGGGTGAGGCTTCTTTTCATGTTCGCTTTTGGCTTTGCTCTGTAAGGGGGAGAAGCGGGGGGCTCTTGCGTTTGCACTTGGCCTCCGTTTGGTTTTACTCGTAAACATAGAAAGAGAGCGAGTCAGAAGGGGTCTCCCGGGCCATCTAGTCTGACCCCTGGCTCCAGCCGGCTCCGCTCACAACCTGCGTACCTACGCAGTGGAAAATGTTCCATGGATAAACAGCGCTCCATATCACCGCGTGACATGGAGAAGGTGGCTCCTTGCATGCACTGAATTACAGCGGAAGCGCTTCTCTTGCTTTCTCAGACATTGACAGTGGTTACTACACGGTGAAATTTGACTCGCTGCTCCTGAAGGAGGCGGTTGTGGAAGGAGATGGCATTATGCCTCCCCTGCGTGGAGAGGAGAGCTCCTCCTCAGAGTCGGAAGACGGTAACGTGGATGATGATGCATATGCTCAAGGTAAAAGAAGAGGCCGTTTCAACCCCTCCCACGCATCTCGGGGAGTTTCCTTTTTTTCTCTGAACCTGCTGCTTTTGCTTCGCAGAACTGCATCCTTCCAGCTTTGGAGAAAAGGAGTAGCCCCCGCATCCCTGAGTCTGTAGCCATGGCAATGATGAAGGGATGGAAATATGTGTGATATTTTCACCTGCTCAACAGCTCATTTAGCTAAACAGCCCCCTCCCCCTGCCCAGAGTGCAGGCTGTTCGCCCACAGTGAGAACGAAAAAACAAACCGATCTGAGAACAAATGCAATCCTAGGAATTTGGTTCCTCTGCCACAGTAACTCACGTCAAAGAAGTTTGAGGATTTATGGAAAGCACCTAGAAAACCTGTACCAGCCCTATAGATTTAAAGGACTTTTAAAATAGCTGTGCCCCAAAGTCAGCTTACATACTCTAAGGAATTGTCTGCAAGGGGAAGAAAATCTTGCTACAAATGTTTTAATTATGTAGGCCTTACGCTGATGTCTCAGTAAAGCAAAAAAGAATGTTTAAGGTTTGGTGTTTTGCTGGGACTGTAAATTCAAACATCAGAATTGTAACAGTCAGCAATGCAGGTGCGTGGCTGAGATAATAAAGGCCTTTACTTCTGAGTAGACATGTGACACTGTTGGCCTATTCCGTGCAAACACATGAGCTCTATTTGTACAGAATTAGCCGGCTTGCTTTTTAAAGCCTTGCCTATTTGACCCAGAACTTCGTATTATAATGTCTTTGCTGGCAAGAACTGATGAAACAAATTCCTTGGGAGGTGTCAGGCTGTCCTTCGCTGGAAGAGTTTGGGAGGCTCATCTGCCAGGGATGCTGTGGTCGCATCCTGCATTACAGATCCTGAATTTAGGAGGTTGGCCTGGACATGCCTGGAAGTGGGCGGGCCTTGGGCTTGAAAGATTTGTTTTGTGTTTTCCGTGGACCCTGAGTAGGCTGTCCAGAACCAGGTGCGAAAGTGCAGTGCAGGAGAAATGAACTCCAAAGTAAAGAACAAGGCTTCTTGAGTACACGGTCTGCCCAGGAATTTGTGGGCAGCATTCACACGACCTTCCACCCGAAAAGCCACTCTCAGTTTTCCCGCAAGTGGTTTTGCCAGCAGGCTCATTTGGGAGTGGGAGGCAGAGGAGGAAAGCCTTTGAGCTGTTGTTGTTGTGGGTAGGCAGAGGTCCTTGTGGATTTACTGTGCATCCCAGTCTGCATTTTACCCGCCCCCAGCCCCAGCCGCTCCTCGGACTGGAGCAGCAGGGGAGCTGGTGGGTCCGGTGGAGGAAGAAGGAACAGGTGGTGGGCAGGTCTTCGTTCTCTGCCCTGATCCCTCTGCAGTGAGCTTTTAGTCGCAGCCACGGGCTCCCCCTTCCGCCCTGCCTCCGACTCTCTGTCCGGCTGGCTCCCTCCAACTTCCCTCGTATTGTTTCAGTCATCGACTGGGGCACCCCGGAGAACGGGGAAGGGTCCTCTGCCTGCAGTTCCTCCTTCGGCAGCTGGGAGGTGCACACGCGTGGCATCGGCTCCAAGCTCCTCGCTCGGATGGGGTACGAGCTCGGGAAAGGTAAGCGTGCACTTTCGCACAGACGGTGGGGATCCTGAGTCAAGGGGGGAGGTCTGTCATTCGAAAGTGTGCCTGGGCCTTAATAAACCCATGCCTTTTCTGTCACCGGAAGACAAGGCGGCCTCTAGGCCCCGGAAGTAAAACACGTGGACTCAGAGTAGGGACAAGCTCCCGCCTAAACTTGCCCAACACCCCACTTTCCCCTTTGCTCAAACGGCATCTAATTTGGGCCAGGCTGGGAGGGCACCTTACAGGCCCACCTGCCCTGGCCACTGGGGGCACATCTCTCGACCTGATGAGGGAGGAGGCGCTGGGGAGAGAGCTGCCTGCCTCCGTGTTCGGAAGCCCGGGCCTTCTCCCCTCGGAGTGGTGAGACTGCTCTCCACTTCCCAGGTGCCTTCCAGTCCCTTCTCAACCCATCGTTTTCATTCCCGCTCGGTGTTGGGGGGGAGGGCAGGGCAGGAGGTCTCCCCCACCGGGTGGTCTTGGCCTTGAGCAGGTGCAGCATCGGGAAGACCATGTTCCTTTCCCTCTTCCCGGTGGTTGTGGGGCACGGATGGCACACTAAAGGGTGGCCGTCGTTTGCGGATCTTCCGTCCGGGAGGAGTCTCCTCCAGCGTGGCCCTCATTCAGCCACGGTTCTCTCCCGGTTTCAGGCTTGGGAAAGAATTCGGAGGGCCGGGTGGAGCCGGTGTTGGCCGTCGTGTTGCCGAAAGGGAAATCCTTGGACCAGTGTGCGGAGACCCTCCGGAAAAAGAGGGAGGGGACGCTCGGCCCGACCAAGCCCCGGAAGCAGCGGGCCAAGGGGACCAGGGCCGCCCGGCTCTCCCAGCAGGGCCCCAAGTCCCGGAATGTCTTCGACTTCCTGAACGAGAAGCTTCAGGGCAAGAGGCCCAGCGAGGCGGACGGAGGGCAGGCGCCCTTGGAGAGGAGCGGCAAGGAGATCTACCACGCCAGCAAGAGCACCAAGAAGGCCCTGAGCGTGCGCCTCTTCCAGACGATGGAGGGGATCGAGCGCGCCCAGAAGGACATCCGGGGCATCCAGGAGGCCCTGGCCCGCAACGCCGGGCGGTAAGCCGGGCGCCTCATTTGGGGCAGGGGGGCAGCTCGCCACTGCCTCTGCTTCTGCCTGTGCTAAATTTATTTATTTATTTAAAACATTTCTATGCCGCCCCCATCGCAACAAAGCCTCGGGGCAGCTCACAAAGAATACATAAATACATAAATAATGATAATATAACAAAAAAAACATTTAAAAACCCCCAGTGCATTCTTGGCTAAATTTTTTAAAATTAATTATTCAATAATTTAACATTATTGAATGTTTTAATTTTTTTTAAAAACATTATTTAAGTTTTAAATAAAAAGGTCTTAGCCTGGCGCCGAAAAACAAATAACGACGGCGCCAGGTGGACCTCTCTGGGGAGCGCATTCCATAGATGGGGCGCCACCACAGAGAAGGCCCTCCTCCGGGTACTCACCCTCCTAATATCCTTCACGGAGGGCTCCCGGAGAAGGGCATCCGTTGCTGATCTCAAGGGGCGGGAGGGCATATATGAATTCCATGCTGAATTCCATGCTGTCGCCTGATCCAGAATCCGGGTCCCCAGCGGGACGCCGCAAACGTCGGCAGGGCGCCGTGGCAGATTCCCCTCCTCTCTGCGGAGCCCATGGGAGAGGGCAAGAGACGTGGCCCGTTTCCCCCTCCTTGGGGCGCCCGGGGGGCAGAGTAACCGGCTGGGTCGGCCGGTTCTGCAGGCAGCAGAGGCACCCGCTCCTCCCAAGAAGGGCGGCGTGCCGTGGCGCGTGGGATGCGAGCGCCGGCTGGCAGCGTGGGAGTGAGGGCCCATTCTGGCCACAGCAGCAGAGGCAGCCCGCTTGTACTGGGAGAGCTTGGCCGTCCTGTCCTCCCGATGCGTCTGCATCCCGGAGGGAAGGCTCAGCCGGGAGCCCTGGCTGCTGCTGGCATGGAGGGAAGGCCAGGAGAGTCCTCAGGGACAAACCTGAACTGAAGCGGGGCACTTACCCCAGTTCCCCAGTGAGCGCCCCTCTGGAGGAAAGGCACGGTCAGAGGTGAAGCCCTGCTGGATCAGACCCAGGTCCAGCCAGGCCAGCTTCCTGCTCCCACGGTGGCCGACCGGCTCCCTGTGGGAAGCCCCGAAGCAAGGCAGCTGCCCCCTCCCACCCATGTTCCCCAGCAGCTGGTGTGGTCTTGGCACTGGAGGCAGCACACAGCCCGCAGGGCTAGTAGCCCATGGTAGCCTCCTCTTCCATGAATCCGTACCATCCCCTTTACGGCTGCCCAAACTGGGGACTGTCGCCACGTGCGGATGTGAATTCTGCTGAAGTCTGCACCATGCGAAGAGGTCCTCTCTTACCTCGGCCAGCTTCATGGGTTGACCCCATTAGGGTCCAGCGTTTGTGGGTGGGGGGCTCTCCCTGTCTACTTCTGCCATGCCGTGCCTGCTGTTCATACCTCTGTCGTGTCTTCCGCTACTGACCCTTTTTTCTGAGCCAAAGGTCCTGGTGTCTCCATTAGAGAGACAAAGGCCAAATTCAGTTTTGGAGAAGCTCTCAGAGGGCTGCGGTCCCGCCATGGGCAGGGAATGGAGCCACATCCCAAAAACAGCAGCCTGTCTTGGCTTAAAGCACTCATTGCCCCGAGCTGAGCCTTCAGAGAGGCATCTCCACCCTTGAGAATGGTCAGGAGGCGCAGACAATAGCCGGGAGACCTCTAGACAATCAGGAGGGGCAGCAGGAACCACTCGGTTAGGGTAATTTTGATTGGATTGACGTGGGAGGTGCGGGGGAGGGTGAGCCCACTGATTCACCAGGGACCCTGTCCCCCTAATTCTCCCCAAATTTGGCTTTCAGGCACACCATCGCCACAGCCCAGCTGGAAGAGAAGCTGGCCGGGGCCCGCAAGAAGCTGGGCGAGCTGCAGGCCCAAGAAGCCAGTCTCCAGCGAGAGCAGAAGAAAGCAGACACTCACAAGAAAATGACAGAGTTCTAGCCTCCCTCCTCATCCGGCCTGAACACCGGCTCAGCTGAGCAGCGGTCGCCGCCGCGCTGGAACCCGTTTGGCTGACGACTTCTGCACCGGCTGCGCCACCAGGCCGCTGGGCATGAAATGGCGGACCAGGAGATGCGGACTGTCGCGCTGCTTCCGCTGGACGCGTTAACACCTGTACATGGAGCAACCGGAGAAGGGCTGTGGCCAGCCACAGAGGCAGCGGCAGGAAAGCTCTCTCGGGCATGCAGATCGCTGGCACGCGTCTCCCACTCCCCCCTCGGCTCCTCCTGCTTCCAGAATTCCTTCAAAGAATCTGGGTGGCAGATGATCCTGCCTTAAGCTGCCGAAAGGTAGAGACACCGCAGCAGAAGTGAAAGAAACCTTACTAGCAGCCTGGGTTCTCTAGTATCTCCCAGTCCTGTTGGCCCTGCCGGAAGGCCTGCTAGGTGCTTGTGCATAAGATTGTCCCCTTGTGCCGTGCCCGTTTTCAGGATCACTGTAAGGCACCGTACCTCTTTGCTCCACCGTGACCTCCAGGCTCGGGAGTTCAGCAACCACCCCAGAAGGCAGGTCAGAGGTTCTGAAAGGGCCTGCTGGCCATGTGCCTTGACTCTCTGTTGGTTTTTGGCCTGCGTATCACTGGACCCAGAAATGACTCTTCCACCGCATTCTGGAAAGCCTGAAGGTGGGACCCCACAAGAGCCAGTCTTCCTAAGCGGAGTCAGATGCTGGTCACGTGTACTCCAGACACGTGCTGGACTAGCGCCCTGAAATGCCCCTGAGGCAGGAACGTGTGCACGTCTGTGGAAGCCTCAGAGACGATGGCTTTCCACCAAACAAGGCAGCAGGTGCTGAGCTTTTCAGTGTTCCTGTGAGCCCCACGTTGAGATGCAGGGCTGCTGCTGCTGGAACCGAAGCTGGGTAGAAACATATCCAGTAAAGTAGCTGCTTGTACCCGAAGCCCCAAGCCGAGATTCTATCAGAGAAGCCGTTTGCTCACGGGAAGAACGCGAAGCCTGCAGGACGGCTGCTGGTGCCCCGGGGGAGAAAGGCAGCGGGTTCTGTGTTGCGGGGCAAGCGTAGGCATCCGTAGAACTTCCTGTGCACACTTCCTTTCCGATTGTAATTTTAAGTTTGAAATGAAAGAACAACAGTTTGCTGTATGGCTTCTTATTCTTTTCATCTTTGGGAGTGTTTAAGGACTTTTTTCAGACTTTACTAGAAGCTGAAAAAGGACAGCTTGGAGTGTGAGATCTATAAGGGCACCAGTCAATGCATGTTTAGATAGAAATAAGTCTTACAACTCCTGGAGCTCTTTGATGAACTTGGGTGGTTGGGGGATATTGGGAGTTCATCATAGAATGATAGAATAGTAGAGTTGGAAGGGGCCATGAAGGCCGTCAAGTCCAAGCCCCTGCTGTTGCAGGACATTAGGTTACACCATCCCACTCAGAGGGCTGTCCAGTTTCTTTCTGAATGTCTCCAGTGTGGGAGAGCCCCCCACCTCACTGGGCAGCTGGTCCCACTGTCGCATTTCTCTGACCGTGAGGAAGCTTTGCCTGATGTCCAGCCTGAATCTGGGTTGTCGCAACATGAATTGATTATTCCATGTCCTACACTCTGGCACCAACAAGAAGGGATCTTGTCCTTCCTTCTTGTGACAGCCTTTGAGGTACTCATAGAAGGAAATCATGTCCCCCCTCAGTCTTCACTTCTCAGGGCTGAACATGCCCAGTTCTCAGTCTCTGCTCACAGGGCAGTGTTTCCAAACCCTGGTTCATTTTTATTGCCCTCTGCTGGACTCTTTCTAATTTATCTGCATCTTTCTTAAATCTTGGTGCCCAGAACTGGACACAGCATTCCAGGTGAGGTCTGCCTAGTGAGGAGTATAGAGGAACTACTACTTCTTGTGATTTGGAAGTAATACTTCTGCACCCCAAAATAGCATTTGCCCTTTTGGCGGCTGCATTGCATTGTTGGCTCATGTTTAGCCTATTGCCCACAATTACTCCAAGATCTTTTTTTTTTAGTTCTGTTGAGCCACATACGACTTACTTAAATGAATTAAATGACTTATTTCTTTTACTAGTAAGCAGGTTACTAGTCCTCGTGGGGAAGGATTTGCTGGATGAAGCTCCAAGTAAGGGAACTCAGCCAAGGACCATAAATCCCTGAGTTTTCTGCCAGTTGCAGGATGCTCCTTGGAGCCCACACATGTCCTGCTCTCAGGCAGCTGCACACAGTTTCTGGAAGTAAGCTCCATTGAATATGATGGGACTAACTTCTGTGCAGACACAAATAGGTTGATGGTGCTGGTGTCCTACAGGTGATATCAGCACTGTGCTCTCCTGGTGGCCCATCAGCCGCCACGGGAAGCCCACGAGCACTGTGCTCTCCTGGTGGCCCACCAGCTGCCACGGGAAGCCCACGAGCAGGACAGAAGTGCTATAGCCCTCTCTTGATGCACACGATTGCCGCCTCAACGGCTCTATTTAATGCTGAGATTATTGGTCACACCAAACATCCAGGTAGCTGAACAGCCTGCAGGAATGAGAAGCCCCTCAGCAGCGAGTGCATTCAGTTCAGTAAACATAAACCTCACACTGCTGTCTGGGAGCGATCGGGCCTGCAGTCCCCGTCTGGAAGGCAGCAGGTTGAGAAAAGCCGAGCTAACGCAGTCCTGCTGATCAGTTCCTCAAAGAGGGAGTGGAGCACACTCCAGTTCCCGTCCACACGGCAGGCCGCCTTGCCGTCTCCGCTCTCGGTTTTGAAGCGTGACACACCGCTGGGTGTCGTGGGCAGGAAACCAGCTCCCGGCGCTTGACAGCATGTCGCTTGGCAGAGACACCCCCGCCTTGTAAGGAGAGGCTGAGCAAGAGCTGTGGGTGCCGGGGGCCCTCCTTTCCTCCCGAAGGAGAGAGGAGGCCAGGCCGAAGGACAAACCTCTTACACCCGTCGGGACCTGTCACAAGGATGCGTTTGACTCGCTCAGTCCTTCCAAGCCGCTGATCTACCAAAGTGAGTATATTCCATGCATCGCCTTCTGAACCAGGACAACTCGAACATGTGGCTCTCTGAGACCACTGCAATTGGAGGCATGCTTCCTTGGACGTAAATCCCGTTGGACTAACTAGAATTGGTTTTAAACTGCCCCAGCATCGTGCAGCACCCGTGGGACAACCCTAAAATCCAGCCCTTGTCGCCAGAGGGTGGCACGTTCTGGGCTGATGTCTGCCCACCCCATGCATTTGCTGTGGGTTTTCAGGCTTAAGAACCGTGCTGGGTCAGACCAGCACTCCTGCCCACAGTGCGACACTCGGGTAGCAAACGAAACGGACACCATCACGCTTCCTGGCCCGCGATCTGCAATGAATGTGTCCAATCAGCCTGGAAGCCATGAGTGGCCAGCAGTACTACTTGTTCCGCAGTTTAACTGGGAACGCTGGCAGCTCTGCTTTGTAAACTGGGCGGGATGCTGGGAGTACATGCACTCTGAGTACAGCACGGAGTAGGGAGGGAACCGTTTAAAAGAGGAAAAAATGACCCCAAACCAAGAAAGCCAGTACAGCTGTTGGTGAGAAGTTTTTATTGTTCGTATAAATTGGGATAATTTGGTTGTGACTAAAATCGTTCCTAGAAACAGAAATACCTTTACAATAAAGGTCATGAAGTCTCATGGTCTTTGCGAGTTACGCAGAGGTGCTGTATCATCGTTGAAAGGGCATTAGCGGCGTGTGCTACTGCTCAGAAGTCCACCTCCCCCGCGGATTCGTAGAGAACGACATACTAAGACTGCAAGCGCTCTCGAATACCTGCCGGGTTTCTGTGTTGCTTTTTGGTGATGCCGTCAAGTTTTTGCTGGCTGCGGGGCCAATTGCTTATGCCAGGGATGGTGGAATTTAATCTACAGGTTGTCATGGGTTGCGTGGATAAATGTAGAACTCTGCAGATGCTTGAGTCTGTCAGTGCAAATTGCCCTTTTGTCTTGTCAAAGCTATGGCTCCCTTTGTGGAGCTAAGCCATCTCTTCTTTGGTAGCAGCTAATCTAGACAGTCGATGGTACAGACACGTCACTCGCACTAAGACCACCTATGTTTAAGTCTAAAGCTTGAATTGAGAGCAGGCGGGGGTCACGGCCTCCCAGGTGCTGGTCTTTCACTGTCCCTGACCCTTGTCTATGCCCACTGCAGCCCGTCCACATCTGGGAAGGGTCAGTCACTACCCCTTCCTTACGAGTCAGAGAGCATCTTTATTTACTCCCTGAGAAAATGGCAAATTTTAAAAATGCATTCCAGTTCTAAAACGTTCGTTGGAGGACATCGAGGGAGATCTTCTGGGCCATAGGCAGGACCATCAGGTAATCCTGCTTCCTGAAGGGGCTGGCCAGATGCCTCTGGAAGAAGCTGGCATGCCTGTTCCAAAATGACCCAGCGAACTGGTTTAGGGAATACAGTGTCCATTTATACTCAGAAAGGTGCCAGGGCCATCGCTGCGAAACGCAGGCGGAAAGCAGCTGGCAGCTCGTGTCTCGGAAAGACCCTGTTTTGAGCCCAGCTGGTAGATTTATAACAGACAGGATGTATGTTGAGGACCCTGCAGCCGATTGCCAGCTTTGAACAGGTTCCTGAGGGTGAAGGAAATTATGACTAGGCCAGTGTTCTGTGTGTTTTTTCATCTTATTAGGGTGCCTATGGGGTAAATAAAAATCATAAAACAAAAATCTTAGGCAACATAAACCCATAATTATGGTTGAATTGCAGAAGAAGGAAAGAGCATTGAGGAATAGTATACACTGAAGCAGTGGGTGTGGGCTTGGGTGGACTCGGGGGGACGGTGGAGGACAGGAAGGCCTGGAGGAATGTTGTCCATGGGGTCGCGATGGGTCGGACGCGACTTCACGAATAACAACAACAATAAGAGCAGATGCATCTGATATTTTTAAAAGCTTTGGAAAATTAAAAAAATGCTTTTGCTGGAATGACATTGAAGCGGGCTTCCAGGGCTTTGGAGCTAGAAGATAGCTTTCTCTCCCATCTCATGATCCCCAGCCAGAAGGGGGATGATCTCAATGCTGGGAGAAAGGGTGTGTGTGTGTGTGTGTGTGTGTGTGTGTGTGTGTGTGTGTGTAACTGCTAAGGCAGGTATGTGGGTGCAAATTCTTTCCACCCATAGGGATTCTCCATGAGTATCTTGCAAAGAGTGGTGACCTGTCCATTTGGGGCAGCAGTGACAAAAGTCTTGTGGCACTTTAACGATTAATTAAGAGCGCCGTTGTGTATTCAGCATAAGTTCTTGGGGCCTAGAATCACGTATCTGCAAAGGTACCGACTGGCTTGCCATGGGTGGGTAAGAGCAGCATCCAGGAAGCAGAAGGGAACGCGTTCTCTTTGATGCCGCACTGAGCCCGGTTCACGCATTATGGCAGTCTGTGAGTCGTTTACAGCAGGGCCATTGCTAAGGGCTTCAGAGCCTCAGGGCACACGCCCCAACCCCAGTTTGTACGTGCATGTAAGATATGCACTCTGCACCAGCTCTGCTTCAGCCGAGGCCCCTCCTTGGGGCACTAGAAAGCATCTTGCTTCTGTCTGAACGCATCTGGAGTTGTTCCTCTTCAGCCTTGCCGTGAGCCCGAATCAGGGCTCAGAAAACTGAGGCTTTCCTGGGAGTAGCCCTCATTCATTGCCGAGTACTTAGGCCTCATGGTGCATTAGTGGGCACTGCTTTACCTCTCCTCTAACCCCACCCCCACCCCCAAAGTAACTCCTGTTTTCTAACAACACTTTCTGTTCATCGGATCATAGGCAATTGCTTTCCACTGGATCAGCCTCTTGGTCTAGTTAGCCTAGTGCAGCTGACGCAGGCAGGCAGGCAGGCAGCCCCGGGGTTCTAGGCAGGGCCCCTTCCCAGCTCGTCCCAGAGATGCTGCCGGGAGCTGAAGGGGAGACCTGCATGGCCAGTGGGTGCCTTGCCCCTGAGCTGAGGGTTTCCCGCTTGTTGGAAAATTTATTCATTTAACTTCGATGCTGCCCAATAGCCAAATGGCAGCTGATGGAAAAACATACCCGGAGCCAAGCTCTGGGAGCCAAGGCTCAATTTGGATGCCAGGAAGCTTTTCCTGACAGTCAGGACCCCGAGGGTGTGGAATGGGCTTCCCCAGGAGGAGGTTGAGGCCCCATCAGTGCGGGTGTTCAAGCACAGGCTAGACGTGCACATGGTGGGCATGTCGTGAGCGGAGCCGAGGGTCAGACTAGATGGCCCGGGAGGCCCCTTCTGACTCGCTCTGCTTCTATGTTTCTATATATGGGGGTGATCCCACTTCTCTCAAAGACCTGGGTGAGCAGGAGGAGAAAAGCAAACCATCTGCTCTGTTTAAATGGTACAATCATCGAATAGTATAGTTGTAAGAGGTCAAGACGGCCACGGGGTCCAACCCCTGCTGCTGCAGGCCACCAATTTACATCATCCCGAAAGCAGACGCAGTTCAGAGCTCCTCTCGTCCACTGCCCTCTCCCCTTGGGAATTCTGTAAGATGGGCTCAGGATGAGGGAAGGAAGAAGGGGAAAAGAAGACGGGAGATGGAGGAGAGTCCCCAGGGCCAAGGGGCTCCTTTCAGAGTGGGGCCCTTCGGAGAAATTTAGGAGGATGGGGGAGGGTTGTACATGCTTCGGTGGCCCATCAAGATGACAGAGCTGTTTCTAGCTCAACTGTGCAGCCTTTTGAAAAGAGCAAGAGCTTCCTGGCTCATGCTGTCACATGCTCCTAACCATCTTTAGATGCAATCAGCTGCGTCCACCTGCAAGGATCCCGGCGCAGGTAAGCCTCAAGCTGAACAACTGCAAAGTGCTCCGTGCGGGGCTGCCCCGGAAGGGTCTGGACTGGCTACGAATGCGCTACTGGGACACGTGAAAAGTTTCAGGGCTCGTGTACAAAGCCCTGGACCACTTAGGGCCAGCATACCTGAGAAAGAACCACCTCTTGCATTATTGTTTACTTATTAAATACATTTTATCCAACCCACTAACCCTGTTGCCAAGGCCATCAAAAGACCTTCTCAGGGGGTTCCACATGGACCCGTGCCCCAACTGGCGTCCACCAGGAGAAGGGTCTTCCACATGGTGGGCCCATTTCTATGGAATTCTCTGCCTCCGGTGGTCAGGCAGGCACCAACGCTGCTGCCTTTGGCACCCGCTGAAGACATTCTTGCTGGCATCCTTACTGACCAGCCATGAATTTAATGTTATCTTGCCTTTTTATTATTAAGTATTTTAACGTATCTTAAGTGTATTAATATATCCTGGAACCTGCTTAGAAATGAAGCAATATGCAGATCTGGTGACAAAAAAGTACATATAGGAGAAGGGTCCAGTGGAGTGAGAGAAACAAAGCTTAAGAAATCTGATTAAATCCTTTGCTATGCTGAAGCTGCTCAACTTCAGAAGGCAAAGGGCCAGGTCGGAGGCATCAAGACAAGGTCCTGCATGAAAAGCCGGCATTTCCCAGGGAATCCCTCCTGCCTTCCTTCCCTCACCCTCTTCAAAATTTCTTTGCAAGAGAAAGAGCAGAAAAAAATGAGCAAACTGTGAGTGGAAAGCTTAAATTAGCATGTGTGAGACAGGATGTGACATTAAAAGGGGGGAGGGGGTCTGACTGCAAGAGAGTCAGGGATATGGCAAACTCAAATTCTGGCTCGCTTCAAATGCTGGCTAGTGTTTGCCAGTCTTGCTGGAGTCCACAAAATCAGATGCATGGTGTAATATCCACATTTGTTACGGTGGATCTGTCAGATCGGGCTATGCTTAGTCCTGCTGCGATTATACCGGGCTTCCTTGGCAATTTCCAAGTGTTTGTTCATTTATGTTATTTAAGATCCACAAAGGGGAAAGGGTCAGCTGGCAAGCAGAGGGCTCAGGGGTACGCATCTGGCCTAGGGAGCCACAGGGGCAGACTGACTCTACTAGAGGTGGGACATCATCATCATCATCATCATCATCATCATCATCATCATCATCATTATTATT